AGATTATTACAGTCTTTACCGATTTCAAAATGAAAATTGGAGCATATTACTATGGATTTTGTGAGTAATTTGCCCCGTATGCAGAAAGGACATGAGGCTATATGGGTGATAGTTGATAGGTTGACGAAGTCTGCTCATTTTCTAGCTATTAAAATGTCCTATGCTCTTTATAGACTAACTAGTGATGAGATTGTGAGATTGCATAGTGTACCTGTATCTATTGTCTCTGATATGGATCCACGCTTTACTTCAAGGTTTTGGCCTAGCTTACAGACTGCATTGGGCACTACTTTAAAGTTTAGTACAACATTCCACCCACAAACAGATGAACAGTCAGAGCGTACTATCCAGACATTAGAGGACATGCTGAGAGCTTGTGTCATGGACCTTCGAGGTAACTAGGATAATTATTTGCCTTTGATTGAATTTGCTTAAAATAACAGTTACCATAGTTCAATTCAGATGACACAATATGAAGCTTTGTATGAGAGGAAGTGTAGGACCCCAGTGTGTTGGAGTGAAGTGGGTGAGAGGAAGTTATTGGGTCCAGAGATTGTGCAGATGACTGCTGATCAGATTAAAGTTATGTAGGAGAGATTACGGAGTGTACAAAGCAGACAGAAAAGTTATGCTGACAATCACCGACGTGACTTGGAATTCAAGGTAGGTGATCGAGTATTTTTATGGGTATTACCTTGGAAAGGGGTCATTCGTTTTGGTAGGAAGGGGAAGTTGGCTCCTCGGTATATTGGTCCGTACAGCATTGTGGAGCGGATTGGAGCTGTTGCATACCGATTGAAGTTACCAATAGAGTTGTCCAGGTTGCATGACGTATTCCATGTGTCTATGCTACGAAAGTACATGCTTGACCCATCACATGTGTTGATTTCAGAACCGATGAAATTAGCTGAGGATTTGACTTATGTAGAGTAGCCGGTTCAAATTTTGGGTAGGAAGGAGAAGGTATTACGTACAAAGATGATACCGTTAGTTAAGGTTTTGTGGTGTAGTCACTCAGTAGAGGAAACAACCTGGGAGACTGAGGAGAGTATGCGGGCTCAATATCCTCATTTGTTTGGTGCAGGTAAGTAATTTTGAGCATGAAATTTTTATTAGTGGAGGAGAGTTGTGAGACCTAATCACGCATTGTATGTATATTAATATAATTAAGTGGACTAAATTATAATTATATAAAATTATTAAAGGGTTAATTAAATTAAATCTTTTATAGGCATGATGTGAATGAGCATACATTGGGTAGGTGGACCTCGTTAATGAGGTATTAGTGAGACCCATTTATAGAAATTTTTTGTGTAAAAATATTAACGGGTCAATTTCAAAATCATTAAAAAAATTGGGGGGAGACAAGTGTAATTCACCCATTCATAAAAAATGGGTGAGTCATGTGTGTAAGCAAATGAATGTGTGTGTGTGTGTGCCGTGTGTGTGCCGTGTGTGCTAGTTAAGGGGTAAAAGTGTGTGTGCGTTTAATACATGAAGTAGTGTGTGTGTGTGTGTGCTGATTTTGGCTGAAACTGAGAGTGAGGTGAGCAAGAGATAAAGGAAAAAAATATATGGGGGAGTTCCTTTGAGCCGAGATCAAGGAGGAAGAGAGGGAGAGAGAAAAATAGCAAGTATTTTGTTGTATTTCTAGTTTCTACCGGGACAGAGATAAGGAGGTAAATGAGATTAATTTTAAGCATGTTTATGTGATCCATTTTAGTATGTACGTAATTATGTTGGTTGTTTTATTTGAAATTGGTGAATGTTTTAATTTAAATTCATGGACTGTTTTGGTCAATTTTAATGGGCTGTTTTAGTTTTATTTCAAAATATATTTTTGTGAGTTGAAATTGTGTGTGTGTGTGTGTGTGTGTATTTATGTGGGTTGTTTTATTTCAATATCAATGGGCTGTTTTATTTTAGTTGCAAAACATGTTTTTTTTTTAGTTTAATTAAGTAAGTTAACATACTTTAGGGATTGCTAAGAATGGATATTAAATTAGATATGAGAAAAATGTGAAAAATGCATATTAAGATGTTTGGAATGCTTTAGGCAGGCTGTGTTGGAATTGAGATTTTTAGGTGTGAAACGGAGAGGTTAATGGGTTCAATAAGAGGCTAAAATTGCATGATTAAATATATGTGTGAGATTAAGTGTGACAGTTTTAAATAAAAAGTACGAGAGAAGTGAGAAATGGGTGTCGGGAATGCCAAAACCCTAATTTCTAAATGTTATTATCACATGTGCGAATTTTAATCCAAATGACCTACAATTTTGCATGTAGCATTTTAAAATAATGCTTGATGTGATAATGTGACTTTTGAATGCCATTGAGTAAAATATCCAGTGCGAAATGTATGAAATACCGAAAGTGCAGTTTTTAGGATTCGAGGTCGAAATGTGTGAAAATGGGCCCCCGGTCAATGTGTTTGACTTGCTTAATCCTAATTGTAATTAATGTGATTGAATTTGAGAATTTAGGGAGGAAATGTGATCCCTAGAACAAAAGTGCTAATGTGAGAGTAGATAGTGCAATAACCGGAGTTACCGGGACACTTTGAAGTGCATCATTTGCATGCATTCGTGCATGATTAACTATTAAATGTAATAAATATATTGATATTGCAATTGTAATTGTGTTAGGTGAAACGGGTGAAACAATCGGTGTTGGAACAGATACTGTAACACCAAAAGAATCCACTGATAGGACCAAAGGGTCGTAGATTTGTACATCTGAGGTGGGTGTATATTTTTATATGTTTTGAAAATGCTATTATTAGATGATATTAAATAATAGAATTTAATAGTAATTCTTCAGGATTATGTGTTACGTGCTTATGTGATTGGATGATACTTTGTACTGTGTACTGTGTATTGTGTATTGTGGAATGTGGCGCACTGTTTGAGACAGGGACGTCGATGCCTAGTCACTGGGCGTGCAGTGATGTGCTAGCACTGTGGTGTTCTCGGGAGGTTCGGGAGACACGGATCCATGTGGGATCGATTACCCAATAAGGGGTAGTGTGGATGTGATGTGGCTTGTGAATTCTTTGAATTGGATTGATGTTGTTGTTTGATACGGGTATCTACGTAGTATCTATATACTTTAGTGTATTACTATCATTTTCATTCCATATACTGCATGTATACTTACTGAGTGCGTGATTTGGCTCACACCCCTACAGCTTTTGTTTTCAGGTACTATAGAGGAGGATGCAGACCAATCCACTGTCCAGTTGATTGAGTCTTGTACAATGTTAGTGTGATATCACTCAGGTTGAGTGTCAGTATAACTAATTATTGGGTTGTATATTATATTTATGACAGATTATTCTGGCATGTTAATAGTATATATTTGTACATAGACTCAACAAGTATACGTTGTGATGTATGCTATGTGGGTGTGAGATTTTATATATGTTTATAATTGGTACATGTGTTATATATGGTACATGTTTTACCATCATGCTTAATGACAAATGTGATGGGTGGTGTATTTGCACCTGTGGGATTATTTAATGTTTTATTAGTCCAGTATATAATAATTGTAAGCAGGTGTATCAACAACCTAGTCGCGTCTCATCCTTGGGAGACTGGGATGGGGAGTGACAAATTAAATTCAATCTAAATTTCTTAATTTTTTTATGTACATAATTAAAGAATCTGTGAGAAATTATGATCAGGTTGGAAGTCCAAAAGATGTGATTTGGTTGGAAGATGCCTTCTAATTGGGACTGTTTGAAGAAAGGAAAGATGCCAAAGAATCGATCTTTTTTTTATTTGATGAATCTCTTTTTGATTCATTAATGTGTGATAGTTTGAAATCTTCGTTACTAATGGAATCGAAATGATCTCTGGATTGATTAGAAGATCCTTTCAATTGACTAGAATCTGTTACTTGAATGAAACTAGATCTCATAAAATCATAATGAATATTTGACAATACATTTTGTACCTTGTTAAAAAAATGGATCTTGGCAATGGGTTAGGCTCGGGTGAGAGGATGGAATCAACTAAATAGAATTAAGTATTTTATATGACCTGTGAAGTGACTAAACGAAGTTAAAGATTGATTCAATACTGAATCCCAGATCCCTATAGACAACTAATGGTAGGGGCCCCAATGCCCATCCTGAACTACACTCATTGCTCGGGCAAGGTATATACCAATATACCGACCGAACAAAGTTGGTGAAAGAAGTACTAACGACGATCATATCCCAAAGGATAAAGGAAGAGTCAGTTTTCTTTCAGGATCAAATGAAAAATCGAACAATTTTATCATTCGGAAGAAGTTTTCTATAGAGAAAAACCTGTTATGAGTAAGTGGAGAGGGAAGATCTCCAAAAATTCTTATCTCATTCCATTCTAGTGGCTCAACTAGTAATGAAGGGTGAAAATTCAAAAATCCGTGGTTTCTTGGTAAAACACTATTTCGCCCAAGTTGTTTCGGAATCAGAAAAAAGAAGCAAAACCGTCCTTATTGTGCATATAAAATAATATATGTGCGTGTTCCTGAGTTATCTCTGTGTGTGTGTGTGTGTGTGAGAGAGAGAGAGAGAGAGAGAGAGAGAGGAACAAAAGTTCATGGAGAATGTGCACACTATGGAATGTTCCCAATCTATATCTAGTAATGTATTTAAAAAAGGAATAGGTGAATGTTGTGATGAGAGATAACAAGAATGAAATGTGGCTTCACATGGAGCTAATTCAGGATTGTTCTACAGCAACAACCAGTGCAAACTTCACTTGATTTTCAAGAGGTCTAACATATCAATTTGTAATCAATTCAGATTGGTTATATAATTCCACAAGTAGTACTCAAAATGATAAGACCAGAAGAGACCACAAAACCATAAGTATAATTGGGAAGTCTGAAGCTCCTATTGCTATTGTATCTAATGTGCATAGAGTTGAACGATACCTCGTTCAAAACAGATCCTAGATCTCTTCTGTTTACAGAAACAGACAGGTGATATCACTTTTAACATTCAAGCTAAGTAATTTTCTTCTGCGTCTTCCTCTGCCACTCGTAGATTTCAGCTTCCTTCATTGCTTTCACACTAGCATTAAACCCTGGATATGGTTCATACCCGAAGAAAGTCTGAAGAACCTGTAAGGAGAATCAGAACAGATTGAACTTAGATTTCATTTCAACTCGGTTAAACCATTGTTGAATTTACCACAGGATTCGAGTATTTACCTCCAGCAATACAAGGAAAGGTACCATAAGCAATGCTTGAGCAAAGTTGTCCACCACATCTGGTGCTCGTTTCTATGAAAAGCAACTAGCTTAATGTATCACATGATACAAAACTCAAGGAAAGGAATTGTGAATGAACTTATTAAAGAATCAGTCACCTCAAATATGCCATGGCCTATAACCTGTGCAGTCCAGCAGAATATCTGTGCCACCAAAACCACCTGGATATATGTTTGTCATAATTAACATCAGAATGCAATTTAGAAGAAAATTAAGTCTGCTAGTACCCCTCAATTTAGTTACCATAACGGGAGAGAAGTATTTATATCTATTGATTTGATTGACTGTTTTTACCAACTCCAACCATGAAGGAATGGTAATTGAAATTTCTTCATGTAATCGTAAAAGTCTTGTGCCTCGTAGCGAATTAAAAAATTCATCTCAAGGTCAAGGCCAAGGGTATGAAAATGTTATGTTAGCTTGCACACCAGGTTACCATCCAGCCCCAGATGCAGAAAGGCTACCAAAGATAGGTATGGATCATGTTTGTTAAGCATAAATCAGTGTTATTGGAGTCCCACTGGAAAAATGCTCCTCTAAATTGAACTTTTTTGTGTTCTCCAAGTATATTCAAGCAAGAACTAAGACTTTTCACTTCCATTCCAAAGGATTTTGGTGCAAGATAAATGCAGTTTAAGCATATCTACCTCAGACATTCAATTAGCAGACATTTTTTAAAAACATTGTGTGAAAACCATGCAAATGACAGCAATCTGTTTGAATTCCTGTTTCCAGAACATGACACTGACTACCAAAAACATTTATGAAAAGGTCATAGTGCAGTTGAGGCTGTGGGGAGAGTTAAACTGGATATAGACCAAACTTTTGACATTATATACACAGAATAGCTGTTCTCAAATTAAAACCGACAACCTTGCAGTCATTAGCTAAAAAGTGTGTAATCTCATCTCTTTTTTTATTTTGGGCAACATTTTTCTTCATAAAGGTTTATGGAGATAGAAAGATTGTGCTTCAGCTAAAAGCAGCACTGAATAAATTATGAGTGCTTACCAATGAGGGTAAAGTGGCTATTCATTTACCTCTCCCAAAACTGCTATAGGAGAGCACCTTTTGCATGTGCGTGTGCGGGGGGTTGGGGGGGGCTCCAGCATTTATGGAGAGGAAACAACTAAAAACACAGGAAGGCGAGCAAATGAGGTACTCTGAAAGGGTTACATGTTGCCTCCATTTTCTACTTTGCTGGAGTCGCAACCTCATGCCTATAGGGCTTTAACTCTTCTAACAAGTGAAGATAGGTCATTCGTTTGCCAATACCACACCTTGCGAATGGAAGGACTCTGTGCAGTTTCCCAACCAAATGCATAATAGCAGATGATCTCTCAAACTGTCAAACATTTCTAGAACAAAAGGACTGTTTTATTTTCAATTTCTTACTAAAACTGTTGAGATAAAAAGTCCCAATTTTAGATAGAAAGCAATCAAAAAATGTAGAAAATGAAACTTCAGTCAACCCAAGAAAATGAGTGATGATAAACCCCAAAGAAAAAGAAATAACGGTTAATTACAAAATACCCCTTCAAATTCGAGTCATATTGCAATTAACTCCTTCTGGTTTCAATTTCGACAATTTGCCCCCTTCAAGTTTTCTTGAGACTAAATTAACTGACTTGGTAGATGAGAAATAGAAAAGTTCTAAAATGCCCCCAATCTTTAATGATATTTTCTTTCTTCTCTTTGTGCCTAACCCATTAAAAAGCAAGTAATTACCCTTCAAACCCCGGTAACCCCTACCCCCAGGCCCCAGCTCTAGCAGACCCCCACGCCCATGCCCCAATTTGACGGACCTCGAAGCCCCATGCCTAGCTTTGACGGAACCCCCTCCCCCAATCAAAAAAAAAAAAAAAAGAGAGAGAGAGATGAGGTTTTATTACCCAGCTCCAACAACGCCTCTTTCTATACCCAATGCCAACAATTCCCCAAACCCCCATACCCACCTCTGATTGTATACCCACACCCTCGTACGCAATGCTGGCAACCCCTTAACACTCATACCCAACGAAAGCAGTACCCCAAACCCCATACCCACTTTTAGCAGCCCCTTGCATCCATAACAACTCTGACAGTCCTCCCAACCTCCATACCACTTCCGACAGTCCCCCTATCCCAACTCCAATAGTCCCCCAACTCCCATTAAACAAGCAAATCCAACAAACAAACAAAGAGACTCTTCAGTCCATATAACACACAATCAAACAAGATTCATCCAAAAATTGACACCAACAACACCCCCCACCCCCCAAAATCTCAGTTGCTGTCGTCGCAAACTCCAAACATCCCCACCCCCACCCCCACCAACACCAACACCAACACCACCACACCCACCCTCACCCTCACCCCCAAAATGTGTTAGGTGCTTCGGTTTTGCTTAGGTGAAGAGGTTGTTGCCTTGTTAGGATTCAGGATTGAATAAGGTTGCTAATCACCAATGGGTGGTTTGTGATCTGGTGGCTGAAAGGGGGCTGGGGGTGAGATATTTTTTTCGATGTTTGTTGTTTCTAAAGGCATGGATTAGAAGGAAAAATTTGTCATCATATGAATTAAGGTCATGTGAAATTCACATGGCCAATTTCTGTCAAATTTTTGACAGCCAAATTTAACGGAAATGAGGTAATTGATTTTAGTAAAAACTTGACGGGGACAAATTGTTTAAATTGAAACTAAAAGAAGTCAATTGTAATATGACGTAAACTTGAAGGGGGCACTTTGTAACTAACCCAAAAATAAAAAAGGTCAGAAAGAGAGGAGAAAAGGATTGTGAGATCATAAAAGCAAAAACAATTGAGCTTAAACTAAAGAGAAAGAAAGAGGGTTCATGTGAATCCACACCTTCCTATAAAAAAATGTGAATGAAGTGCGCTAACGGCGTTCTTATGCCCAAAATAAAAAAGATATGTTCATGAGCAAGCAAAATTATACAAAGCATTTTGTACTAGATAGATAAGATAAACTTAGAAAATATATTCACCCGTGTAATAACAAAGTTAAGATGTTCGTCTAAGAGTAGCAAAGAAATTTGTACTAAAAGAGGATGTAACATGTTAGGGAGAGAGGGAAGGAAGAGGGAGGAGAGTGGGAGGAAAATAAGAGAAATTTGGGCCTATTTGACAGATCATGGACATTTGGAAATCAATAAGCTTAATTTTCTTAGCTGGCCATTGAAGGTACAAATGCTTTCAATCTTAGGGGCAATGTAGAGAATGAAGACCATTTATGTATCTGATGATATACAGTTTATTATGCCGGCTTCCCTTGTTTTAATGGATCACCTTCTGTATTTGTACCTGAAATCAAAACTTTGGCAACTACAGGTGTACTGGTCTTCCATTCAACTTAAATTAAGGCCACGTCCTTAATCCATCAATGGATCGAAACATTAAGTCATTCAGTTCTTCATTGAAAACGAAGCATCTCGATTTCTAATCCACTGGACAAAGCTATGGTAGGGACCAAGGTCAAATTACAAGATACCCACATGATCCACATCTACAGCAGAGCAGCCCATCTCACAATCACAATAATTAACTTCCCATATTAAACATTCATAATACACAATTTCTTAACCTCCAATATAAGAAGACCAAAATATTGAAGGCAATTTCAAAGTGAAGATAAACTTAATCTTAGATGCAAAGCTCAAAATAAACTCATGATCATATAAATACATTGCTTTCCATATCACAGATAAAAAAGTAGAATAATTCTAGAGACATAACAAGTAGAAGCATAAAACAAAACATGACCCACAAGAAATTCATTGATAAGATAGAACAAAGAATAACAATGAAACCAGAACAAACAAAGACCACCAAAGTCCTATACCAACAATGAAAAAACTAAGTGAAAAAGAAGAGACCTTACCTTCCAAGCCAGAGAAAATCCCAGATGATTTGCAAGAGAACTGCCCAATACCCAACACGCTAAACAAAGCAAAGCGGCCAAAGAACCAGCTTTCTTATCCAGAAAGACATAGAACAAAGCATAAGTCAGAGCAAAGAAAAACCCGAAATTCAGAACCAAACCATGAGTGTACAAGAACCCAATTTGAGAGAGATTGAAAAATGGAGGCAGGAAATAGAAAAGAACAATAAAGGTAAAGAAAATTGGCCACACAAACAACATATGAATCAAAATATTCACTGGGTTGGTGTGGTATGCCCCGTAGAAGGCAAACTGCTTCTCAAGATCAAACAATCCAGTCTTTCCCATAAAATTTTTCTTGGCTACCTCAATGGATTTGGAGTGAGAAAATACTGAAAGAGACAGTGGTGTAAGAGAAAGTGGAGAATGGGAGTGAGTAGTTGAAGAATTGAGGGGAGAGTATTTATATTTTGTACGGAAGCAAGGCGACAACCAAGTGCAAGACATGCCTACTTATTATTATATGCCTTTCATATAATTTAGAATGAAAAATTTAATAACAATTAATATGCAATTCATTTTAAATTTGAGTCTAAAATGAACGGATCATTGGATGAATGAGTTCTATCAATTTTTTTAAATAAAACTCATTAATCTAACGATCCTTATTGATTTAGGATGTCATTTGTAATCTTGAATTTAAATAGATTATAATCCAACCCCTAAATCTTTAAAGTGCAACCCATGGAGATTTGGGTAAAATTAGGGTTTAATAAAGGATCAGATTTAGATTGTCTCCATAACTACATGAGTGAACAAGATTATACAATTATTGACACTTAATCCACTATTCAAATTTTAGCAAAAAAGAAAGGTACGACGGAAAATAGTTCATCAATCCGGACACTTCTTATTTTTACACAGATGAATTTGTCGCATTGGTAAAAGAAAAGTGGAAATAAATTGTTATGTGACTAAATTTGATAATTGAGTCAAATTTTTTGAATTTGAGCCGAGTTTGTCAAAAAAACAAATCTGAAAAATTGTTCAACTTTGACTTATTTAGAACACGAGTCGAATCTGTCATATATCATGCCTCATGGTGACGCCTTTAAAGTCTCCATCAATACAAATTATCCGCCATTTTAAAATTATACCGAACATTTGGTGTATATGAAATAAAACACCCGCTCGCCGAAAAACTATTGAAGCAAAGTGGTAAAAAGCATCGACACTCCATTGACAAAACGGGATACAACCTTGGTCACATAACCTTGTCTAAACTCTTTAATGCTTTTGCGTAGTAGGATTGAATTTTTCATGAATTTGCGCTCTTATTTTATTAAATTTGCAAATTCAACTAATATGCACTCTTACTTATTTATATGCTTACTTATTATTACTCAATTTTTTTTTTTTTGGGGGGGGGGGGGAAGTATTAACTTAGGCCTCAAGATATATATCAAATTATAATAATTTTTATAAACTTCAATTTGTTATTTTAGGACTTTAAAATCAACAAACATTTAAAAATTAAATAATTTGTCTAATAACTGTGCATGACATTTTAATTTTTATATTTTATTTATATTAAATTTTTATGGGTGAATGTGTGTTTGTTTGCCTATAATATGACGCTCTCAAAGTGTTCTCGCCCTCAATTTTTTTTTAATGTTGACGTTTTTGCGCTTCAGCTCCAACTCCAACTCTATATGATCTAGGTAGAATCCTTTTTTGATAAAACACTTTTTTGATGATGAAGATCATGCTTAGACAATTCAAAATTCCATTTAACTTGAAACCTTAGATTCAAATCTGATTGATTATCCGATGAATTTCGTTTTTCATAGTCCATATTCGAACATGTTAAAAATCTTTTCTTTCAATCATATTAACCATTTAAATGCTTCAACAAATTAAATCTTAATTTGTGTGTGTTTATTAACTCGGATCGCATCACAATCTTAGATTCGAACTCACTTCTGTATTCAAATCATGTTTTAATCAAAATCCGATCTATTATCACAGGTCCAATGGTGAGGAAAGCCGGCTGAAGATTTTGGACCATGCATTGGGCTTACTGGGGCAGGAAATCCAAATTATAGAATTTGTATAGTACAACACATAATTAACGAGGAATACCCACTTTTATGAGTAATTCAGTGGTTAAACCTGACATTTAATAACTCACAGGTTTTAAATTCAATCTCTTTTAACACCCCTTAAGACTTAGCTATTGTATATACTTACTCTAACATAACTCAAGTCACAATAACCAGCCACTTAACTTAAAAGGAGACCTTGTAGCAAAAGAACAAAAAAGAATTGCACAGTCTATCATTTTGTTCGTTCTTCAAATCTTTGACTAGTACAATAGAAATATCAGACAACATGAACAAGATAGAATGACATTGTGGTTTCCTAAAGCAATTGTCATCCATTTAGCAGGCCTTCGGAGAGCCAAAAACCACCCTCTTCAAAATAACAATGTTTAGCTCCCTATAAATTGTGCTTCTTCCTAAGCCTTCTTTGCACTACACTTTAACATCCCTACAACATCAAAAGTTTCCTCCTTTTAAGGCTACCGTGGCATCAAGAACTTTTGGAGTTGCATTCTGTTTATTACTTGTAACTTCACTTGCTATTGTGCAAACAGCAATGGCCGGAGATCCTGACATCCTCACAGACTTCGTAGTCCCAACGAATGTTAGCAAAGTTGATGGGAACTTCTTCACATTCACAGGCATGAGAGTACTCGTTGGGGCTAACCCGCCTCCAACTTTCCGGGTGTTGAAAGCAAGCAAGGCTGAATTCCCAGCACTTGATGGTCAGAGTGTTTCTTATGCTGTCCTTCAATACCCTGCTGGGACTGTCAATCCAACTCACACTCATCCCCCGTTCAGCCGAGCAACTCTTTGTGATTGATGGTTCACTGCAGGTTGGGGTTGTCGATACAACTAACAAGCTCTACACTCAAACGCTGCAAACCGGTGACATGTTTGTGTTCCCTAAGGGACTTGTTCACTTCCAGTACAATGCTGATGCTCAGAAACCAGCTTTAGCAGTGTCGGCCTTCGGGAGTGCAAATGCAGGTACTGTGTCTATTCCCAGCAGTTTGTTCACCAATGGCATTGATGACAATGTCCTGGCCAAGTCTTTCAAAACTGAAGTTGCTACCATTCAAACACTCAAGGCCGTTCTAGCACCCCAAGCCCTGAAAGGATAGTCCATTGCGTTACTAGCTAGTTCATATTATGCCTCCCTTGTTTGGTTTCATACGATATTTTTGTATTGCGGCATCAAATAAGTCTCCTGGTTGAAAGAGAGTTTATATGTTCAAGTAGCACTCAATTTATATCATGAAAAGAGTTTTTACAATTATGTGATGGTATTAAACAATGCTGAGAGCAGGACCAGTGTGGCTTAGCAGGAGTTTCCACAATTGCACTGCACCAAACCATGAAATTTTTATTCGGTACCAGGAATATTCAGAACAAGGCTGTCATACATAGAACTAAGGATTGCGTGCTTCTCCCCAAAGACAATGATAGGATTGCATGTTTTTCTATATTCAATCTGAAAATTTGTTGGCACACATGATACTACAAGAGTCCAAATGAAACTATTCTACAACAAAAAGTACAAAATTATATTCATGTTTCAATAGAGAAAATTCTCTAAAAGATACACAAATATCTCCAAAATCAAATACAATCACAACACAGTAAAATGTACAATAAAAAATCAACGCTAATATGAACACATCAGCGTCTGGAGACTAACATTAACATAGCAATATCAAACACATTAAGAAGAAAGGTTTCTTAAAATCAGCATCCACAAAATAAAACTACAAGCCTTCATCTTCCATTGAGAATCGTTTGATTACATGTGATGCTTCTGGAGCCCGATTTATAGTCAGGCTACTACAGTAAGCACCAATCAAATCTCCGTTCTTACAATCCAATCATCAGGCTTCCCCCAATAAAAGACAGGTTTTACTCATTTTGATTCCAGTTTACTAATGAGTAACTCGTTTTCAACAGAATACCAAAAGGTTAACTGAAATTGATTATCCAGTTTCAGTGCACCTGAACAAAACCAAAATGTAAGCTCAAAGAATGATGGCAGACTAAGCACAACAAGAATCAAAACATGTGAACTCCTAAATGTGTAGACATTATTGAAGAACTCAGTGCCATCTTTTCCCTCTAATAATCAAGTCAAAAAAGACTGTTTCAACATAGATCTTTAATGAAAAAATAATAAAAATATGGTAATCAAAATAGTGTGAACATAATTGAACCAATATAAAGTAAAGACATTTGTTCTTCCTATCAAAATATATTTTTTCTTGGCATTTATGAATTGACCAAATCCAATTCACACTGAACTTCTCAAATTTAACAGAACAAGCTCAGCAAAATGTTATTGCAAGGAGGAGCAGTATGGATTAGAAGAGAGCAGTGGAAGGTGGAAAAATTCCAAATAATCCAAGCTCAGACTAATGTTGGTTTGCCTCAGAGGTAGTGACAATTGCATATCATCATCAATACGTCTGATAATACGTGCAAGTACAGATGCATCATAGGCAACCAACAAAGCCTTTGTCTAAAAAAATACACTTTATGCAAGTCACTAGTATGAAAGAAATTAGCTTAATATCATAAGTACAATAAAGTTTTTGGAAAACCTCAGCTACTGCAGCATCCTGTAGACATAATCATGAAGTCTCATAAAATGTGCAATAGATGCATAATTCTAATCTTACTTGTGATCATACACATTTATATCAAGAATACAAAAAATAAATGGAAAAAAGTTGAGAATAAACAAAAACAATCAAAAAGTAAAGAAATGTAATAAGAGGAGCATAGGCTGCAGAAAGTCTAGGTCTACAAACATCTGAATACCAGATAACTGACAACATGAAAAAAATATAAAGTAACTGTTTTGAATTTGATATTTTTTGATAAGCAATGGACCCAATGTGATAAAATGTTAACACAACGGTTTTTAGAGCCTCAGCTGCCAGGGTCAGAGCCACAATTTCTGCTTAGTGGTTAAATTAAAACCATAGTGCCAAGGATACTACTTAATTGCACACATGTCGATTCATCAATATTTAGCTTTAATATTAGATTTTAAAAGTTCAACTCTAATTTTAAATTAAAATATCAAGTCCCTTTTTTGTTCACATTTGAAACAAAAGAGTCACGACATTTAATTTTATGTAAGAAGTTTATATCTAATTTTTAAACTAATGAGAGAATCTCCCTTATTTCTTGAAATGTAAAGACTAATTCTATTTGGCACTAAAATTTGATTTAATTTGATGATCTAATAATGGGACGACAAATATAGTTCAATAATATAACTCTAATAACAATTCATATAATTAGATATACAAATTAATTCAAATTTTTTGGGTGCCAAAGGTATTTTTCAAGCATAAGAGTACCGATAAAGTTCTGTAAATTTTTAGTTTGGGGAAATTTAAAAAATTTCAAATGAACCCATAAAATTTCAGAATTGCAAATCCACCTTTGTCAGCTGTGATGATTCATAGATCATAGTAAGGTGTTACAGTTTTTTCATGCATCCTTGGCCATTCCTTTTAGTATACTTGACAATGATCAAACTAAAAGACGTAAAATACACAAAAAACCACGATTCTGAAAAGTGCACATGAAGATCATAACATCGACAGGCAAGACAGATGAAATAAGCTTGTACATTGGAACTAATGCAGACTTGAAAACATTCATAACAGAGCTGAATGAAGATGGTCAAAACATAGATATTGCACAGAAATGAAATTGTTCAAAATTTAGTGTAATTAAATAAAGCAAGATTAAGCCCCCTGTATGAGAAGTTTTAAGAAATTTATAGCGGATGATAAAAAAATGCTCGGCAGAGAATTATAACAAAAGGTTTCATTTTGACTCATCTGCAATTCATTCGTAGCCATAATCATAGTGTGGTCTCATACACTTCTGCAAATGCATCTTTAGCACTTCTTTTACTGTTCTCCCGAATGAAGAAACCAAAGGAAATGAAATATATATATAAAAAAAATATCAGAGAAGTTCACAGCAAAATCAAAGTGATCACAAAATAACGGATACAAGGAAGCTTCCAGTTGAAACAAATCATAATTCCAAAACATTAAAGACACAAGTAAAAGGGAACCACTGTCCTAAACTCTATGCATAGGACCAAGTGAAGAAGGATAAACTAAAAATAAATAATCAGCAATAAGCTCAGTCAAACATGACTAAGTTTGCGCATCAGAGAGATTCCCATAGACAAATCATCATACTACTGAGGAGTGCTGATGTCCCTGTCTGTTTCATCGTCACATGCTCAAACTAGATCACGAGAAAAATAGAGATTTAAAACATGAGAAGGTAAAAAAAATTATAGTAAAGCAAAATCAATATTATTAAATTCACTGTCATATAAACACAGGATTTATGAAGGAATGAATTAATAACTGAAGAGAGAATAGAAACGACTTGCCTCAGATTTAATTCTTTTCATGGCATACACTCAAAGTATATTTAGAACCATCATGGGCACTCGTTGGAACTTTAAAGTCAAGACATGAAGCAGAGTTGAAAAATGAGATTGCTAATCAATTATAAGTAGGTATATTTGAAAAAAATCAAACTGTTAAAACCAAACAATCCAGATATACACATTTATTTCTCCTTTGTTAGTCAAAAAGCATCAGAGAGATTCCCAACAGACTATGTCATCATTCTCCAAATGGAGTACTGATGTCCCTGTCTATTTTATCATCACTTGCAAACTGTCACACATAACTTACCTAACCCATTATCACCACATCAATGCTTTCCATTAAACAAATATCAGAGAACCAGAAAATTTAATATCTAATAAACACAATCCCTCCAGCATGTGAAGAACCATAAGTTGTTCCAAAGGGTAAAAGAAACAGAAATAAAATGTTGAGTTGCTACATATCAACCAATATGTAAATGCATTGCAAAATTCTGCTCAGTTTCTTTTCATAGTGAACCACTCATAGTATTTAAACCCATCAAAGATACAGGTATATCTCAACCATAAACTGTCAAATTCATATTATACTTGAAAATCCATGTATAATTACAATAACAAAGTGGAAGAAATGATTCTTCTCTACAAACTCCACAAATAAAAATTACTAAAACCTAAGTGTCATTGGCAACACTGGAAGCAAACAAGAACATTGCTATGGTATCAAAGCTAAGTAAACAGTAGAAAAACACATGCTTATCTAAACTACCTGCATCAGAGATTCTGATTTCCATAGACTAAATCATCAATGGAGAACTGATGAACCAGTCAATGAGATCATCATTTGCAAAATATACAATTTTTTTCTCAGAAGCTATGCAGTCTATCGTACACCAAAAACTACATTTCAATTAAGAAAGCATCACACATCCTGAACTATTAGCTTTTGCAACAATCCAATCTATAGTACACATCATGATCAAAATATACATACCCAGTTTCTAGCTTGTGAAAAAATTGCCAATTCTTCAGCTTGTTTTAAAAACCGAAAAAAAAAATGTCAAACATGTGTATATCTTAACAGGTGAAACAATCTCAGATTGGGTTTATGACATTTGATTTTTTCATAACAAACTGTTCAATGTGATTTTGGAGTCTAACCCCATCAGAGGCACAAGCAAATCTCACCATGAAACAGAAAATTCACAGCAAAATAAGACAGTTCAAGATAAGAGAAATACAATTAAAAAAAAAGAAAAAATCAATCTTTTTCAATGCAAATTAACAAAAAATAAAGAAAACCTTAAACATCAAATCTATAATACCACCATTGGAGAGAAAAGGATCAAAGCTAAATAACATAAAACCCTAATAAACATAACTTAGGTCACTCAATCTCATGAAACAAGATCATATCAAAGGCTGGAATACGGCAAATTGTCTAGAAGAGTTGAAGGGTTTTGTAGATTTGGGCACTAGGGTTTCTGTCGGCCAAGGTTGGTTATACGGATATATATAGATAGACTCTGAGAGTAAGGCTAGGGCACAAGAGGGAGTTAAAAGGGGTGGCTTAGATGGACGGCTAAGATTTGTCGATAGGACGATGTGAGATAAGAACCGTCGATTGGTAAAGAAAGAACAACTTTTGCATACACACCCCTATAGATTATTAGTTTATATTTGTTTTAACCTTATATTAAT